GTGCCTAAATAGTACTAATTAATTAGTGTTTGAACATTTGATATGTGATATATTATAAGCCTAAATAATATAATAATAAAGAAAATAATCTAAAATTATCAGGAGCTAAGAGACTNCGCGTCTCTCAAACTGTTTGGAAAAACGCCACTTTGGAACATCAAATTTATCAGGTGAACTGAAATGTCAACAATATTTGTTTTCATAATTTGGATCATTTTTGCTGATATTTTGTCTATTCCTGAAGCGGCATTAGTTTTGAGGTTGTCAATTATTCTCAATATTTCTGGAGTCGTGTCAGGTGTCAAGAATAGGGAGTTTTTTTATTGGCTTATCTTTTAGGTCAGGTAGTGATTCATAATCTGAGAGTGGGATAGATCTAATTTTTTTGCAAAATTTTCTCCAACTTTTGAGAAATGATTGATGAATATATTACATATTTTATATACATCAGTCTCATATTCTTCATTTTCATTACATATAGTAGATGGTTCGGTTGATTCATTATTTGAAACAGAACTTTTTATAAACTTGCCATATTTTTTTCTTATTTTTATTTGCATCCAGAATTTTTTTGAGGTAATATTTTTGTTTAGTTTTTTTAAGTAATTTAGTGAGGAAATTCCTATATTCCCTGTACTATTGCCAAAGTGTTTCGTTATGTTTATTAGACAAGCATTTTTTTTCAAAGCATCCTTTTTTTAAATTGGTTGTATTAATCCATTAGTTACCCATGGTTTTAGTTTTTAGTGACTTTGATATTATTATAATGGGTACATTTCTCCAGATGATACATCAATTGCTTGTGAAATTTATTGAAAGCCTTGTCAATATCATTTTGGTGATTTGTATGAAATCATCAGATTCTTCTATTTTTTTTCTATTACATTTTTTTGCGATGTTTAATAGTATGCTATAGTGATCAGTAATAGCTGTTGTGAAATTGAATTACGGACAATCTTTTGCATCTACAGTATTGTCTATTTTAAAGAAAATATGGTCTAAACAAGTTTGGCTAACTTTAGAAATCCTGGTATTTGAATTTATATATGAAGTATAGCCGTGGGTATTTAAAGTATTGAGATATGTATTTGGGATTATTTCATTTTGATCGATTGTATATTTTTTTGCTCGCAACTTCAGTAAATGAATATATTGGATATCGACGGATTCATTCTTCTATTAGTTGCCTTCTAAAGTTCATTAACATTTTATCAAACCTCTTAGTCACGATTCTCGCACCTCACATAATGAGACTTGCCAATGGATAACAGAGATCGACAGAAAATTCGCACAACAATAATCAATAGGTCAATATTCTTGTACAATAATGGCAAACAACAGTCATCATTCATATCGACGTTAAATGAGATTTGTGGTCTTCACAATTACCTATTTATTGATGTTCTATAACTTCGGACTGACTCATCACTAAAAAGACAATGGTTAGCCTGGTACTGGTATGTACTACAGTTATCGTCACATAACTTGGCGAAAGGCAGATTTAGAATCAGAATAACTGGTTTAAACTAGAAAATCTATCTATATTCTCAGTTGGTTAAAGTGAAAATATTATCTCGTTTAATATAATCAAATAATGGAGTTATGAATCTATTGAAAATTCTCGCTAGAACAAAAATCTCAACGCGCGTTTCGCTGACCAAGTCAGCATCATCAGGTGTACCGTGAAACAGGGTTACATTGAACCACGTGGGTACTTTGAACAAAATATAAATTTTGTTACATCGACTCATAGTGAAACAACCATTAGGTTTAGCGACATCTAGTTGCCACCACTCAATTCGTCACATATTTAGAAATGGTGAAGCAACACTGGTATTTAAATATTTTTGTGAAGTTGACAATCCTGACATGTCATTTCTTACCTACAAAACTGACGTTCGATGAGGTCTGCAAATTTTTGTTGCTGGAGTCGTATTTACATTACCTACATGATTACTAAATATACTTGCTACAACAATACATTATCATAGCAAAGCTATATTGAAGTAATTTGAGATATTTCAATAAACTTTTTAATAATAAATTTCTTATCAGAACAATGTGCTTAGATATAGTTTTCGGGGTTACTTTGAACTCGTTCAATATAGACGAAGCACCCTGAGGGGGGGAGCCTCTCCCCTGCTTTTTCGACTTGGGAAAAAGTTGGGAAATTTTGGGCCGTGAAGATAGAAAAAAATAATAGTTAGCAAGTAGATATATGAATGAAAAAAAAATTGTTTTTGAATCTGAGATTATTGTATATATATGGCAAGAAAAAATAATGAACATGTGCAATGTACTTGTGATGCACTGTTTGGAACCTTTGGTGTAGTAATAAATATTACTGGAGTTTTTTCCCAACACCAAACCGTTATTTCAAAACCTCGACACGTGTTTCGATCACCAAGGGATCATCTTCAAGAGGAAGATCAGTTTTATCTTCCTCTGACATGAAGATGGGGCCATAGAAAGTACAGGAAACCAACGCACAAAAACAGGCACCTGATTAAAAATTCCAGCCATCATCCACTACAGCAGAGGAAGGGTAGGATAGGTTGGGTTAGGTCACAAGTGGGTGGGTCTATTAGACTCTCCACCACAAATCGCCGATTAGTTTATTAGTTTATGTAGAGAGTAGTTTTTCAGGTCGGATGGTAAGAGTGCGCTCCGCAGCGGGGCAGGCACAAAGTATGTGCTCTGCTGTTTCTCTCCGACAGTCCGAATCTCTGCATATGATGATTCAGACGACAGTGACCTGTCAGAAAGTCTGTTAGACGTCGTAGTCCAACCCTACTGTACTCCAACAACGGTTTGGTTTCAAGCTTCGAAGTGTGAATGAACGCCTTGGAGTGAGCCAATCCTGGAAGATTTTGCCAGACGTCCATAAATCTTCTTGCCATCCAGGTGCACAAGATGTAGAACGAACTCATTGAACTTGTTAGAAAATACAGGTTTGCATTTTTTCAATATCATTTTCTATCATAGAATGTAATACCTCAAATTGATTTATTGACATCCTGCTCACGTCAGAGAGCATCACAACACACCACGACACAATAATATAATTCCGGCTTTATTTAGGTACATTTCATTGTATTATATCTGAAATTCACATCTATAAAAGCATCTTGCTTGAATGGAAATGCAGGTGCCTGGACAAAAAAAACTAAAGAAACTTGGAAGTACGAAACTGTCAAACAATTGATAGTTGGTGAAACATCTAATTGACTAATTTTTTTAAGGACAGAACACAAGCACTACAGGAAATCCTCAAGGCGCTATAAGAGCGGTGCCTGTGCGATAGTAGCGATTCACATTGGATTTGAATCGTTGGAGATTAAATCCATTTGGAAAACCGTTCTCAGGAAGTTCATTCCACGTAAACGTACGTACGCGATAAGTGATTTCAGTTTCAGCAAAACAAAAATATAGTTAACTAAGAATACTGATATATAAATTCACAGTTTTCGGGGACGCCTTGCTTGCTGAACAGTTACCTATAGAGGCAACTCGTTCGAGAAAATTCTTATAAGTATGAGCATTTATTGATGATAGGCTTCAATGAGTTGGTTATAAACTGCGAGTTATAATATTTTTTCAATACAAGGCAAAGTGTTGATTGGTCTAAATTCCCAGGATTTATTTGTCTTAGGGACTTTCTGAATTGGCACAAAGACACTGGTCTTGAGCTCCTTCGGGAATCTGCCAGTGCTCAAAGATGTATTTATAAAATGCAACAATGCATGTCCTATAACACCAACCGTTTTTTTAAATAAGTTTGCAATTGAGTATTTCACTGCTGTATTTCATTTCCACTCCGTTGATCAATTTAGACAGATCTGCTAACTCCAACACTTTGAATTTCTCGAAGGAGTTGTTAATCGATATAACATTGTTCTCATGAAGTGAATCAGATTGATCAATAGTGTTCACAATTTCTTGTACGCTATCAATAAAATAATTGTTAAATGATTCTGCAATATCTAGATTATTTTTATGAATGACTGACTGACCATTTATTTTGAAATAAATACCAACAGTAAACGTATTGCTATTAGTTTTCGGACTTACAAGCTGTTTGAGTGTTTTCCACATAATCCTCGGATTTGACCTATTTTGATAAATTTTATCATAATAGTGTTTTTTTCTTTGAGTTTCAGTAAATTCACACATTTATTTCAAAGAAATTTATAGTGGTTTCAATTTTCTTCAGTTCTATTATTTTTGAACATCTTGTAAGCCCAATCTCTTTTGTCACAATGTATTTTAACCTCGTCATACCATCGTACACTATTCGACTTCAAAGTGTATGATCTTTCTGGTGCAATTGAGTCAACAAGTGACTCACACTGACTTTTGAAGTCTTCATAAAATATTTCTACATCTAACATATAACACACCTGCCCTAATTCACGCCGGTTCGAGGCCGGAGTGGACCGAATGTCCAACTGGGAGTAGGAGGTCAGATTAAGTATATCAGCAGTCTAAGTTAACCCAAGAAGTGTAGTACTCGAACAAGGACAGTGTTACAAGGAGTACAGTATAGTGAAAAGCAAGACTTCTGTACTCCTCGGACGAAGATCTCGTTATGTAATGAGAAAAGTGCTGGTTATATAACGCCGTAATGGAAGCTGGACCAAGAATTTAGTAGAGAAGGAGATAATGTACCAATAGTATCGATATGTTTATTTAGCGGAGTTTCAAACCAAAAAAAGACAATGAAGTATAATAAATTCGATTCGAAGTGGAACCACTTATTCAAAACGTTAGAGACGTAATATATACATCTTGAAAATATATCAAACATTTTGTTAAGTCTCACCAAGAGTGTATCAAAACATCTAGTACTGGGCATTCCGAATTTTCATTAAAATTCACAACACATAAGGTATGAAACCCATTTGTTTGTTACTTGTAATATAATGGTAATGCAGTTTTGTACTCGCCTGATCAATAAGCATGCAAGAAACTATACAGTGGAATTAAATATAGTGACTTACCTTGTTTGACAGACACAAATCTGGTATTCAGCGCTGCAACAAAACTAGCCTGAGGAAGAGAATCTTCCAAGGAGAAAAGTTCATCTTTTGTTACTGTGTTTGAACGTGTTTTGAGTACAGCTTTGGATCCAATGGGGCTCAGGTATTGGCCGTTTCGGTCCCTAAGGGCCAACTGACCGCTATGGTATTCGGCAGTGAAGAGGCAGTCTTTGTTGCAACTGTCTACCAACTTTCCTGGAATTCAAAAAGTTCATGTTGTTTCAAATATCTAGTCTCTTCATGAAACACGCCGTGGAATATTGTACAAAAAAAAAGAGGAAAAAATTTTCATTTCTGAAAGTTTTGCAATAATGCTGCCAACATGACTTGGTCTATATATTTTCAAACAGTTCCCAGGAACTCAACCACTCATTGGTCGCGAGTCATGATTTGTAAATAAAACAGCACCAAGTGAATACCACATACTGTAGTTACGACAAAATTCATAAAATGATTCAGAGGCAACTTATTTTGACCCAGAAAAAAGAGTTAGAAATGTCAATATCCATATTGTTACAACTTTGGATGTTGGGGTTGCTCAGAGGGTAGCCTTGTGAGGGAAACAGCAGAATACTTAAATACTAAATTTTTTTGCCTAGGAGTTATACATAGGAGTCCTTTCCAAATCAGGTCTTACTAACAACTGTCTTATTACATACATGTTATCAGGAGGAGGGGAAAATTGGACAATCTACCGCCACTTTCCCTTAATGGTGAGGTCAATCCATTTGGAACGGAGGTTAAATATCTTGGCATTGTCCTTGATAAAAATCTCACCTGGAACGCTCAGTAGATGAACAAAGAGATTTTCATTACACCGGAAATTCAACTAACAGAAGCAAGATATAACGGTCGAAAACACACGCAAAACGATCGAAAACACACGAAAAACGATCGGAAAAGCTCGCAAAACGATCGAAGACGCACGTAAAACGATCGAAAACGCACGCAAATAGATCGAAAACGCACGCAAAACGATCGAAGACGCACGCGTTCGCGTTTGTTTCGACAGTTTTTCGTGCGTTTTCGATCGTTTTTTGTGTGTTTTCGATCGTTTTGCGTGTGTTTTCGACCGTTTTCGACCGTTATACCTTGCTTCAGTTAGTTGAATTTCCGGTGTAATGAAAATCTCTTTGTTCATCTACTACGCTCACTTGGAAAAAGTTTTACACAAAGCCAGACTGCCCCTAGGAACATGTCGAAGGATTTGTGGTGAAAGTTGGGGTTTAGCTCCCAAACCAACCCATTGGATTTATGAAATGATTGTTAGACCAATGATCACTTATTGTACAACTGCCTGGTGGCCAAAGGCTTTACAGAAAACGGCCCAGGCGAACGGCCCAGGCTTGTCTGGCCATCTGTGGTGCCATCAGTACTACACCGTCAGCGGCCATGGAGATCCTTCTAAATCTACCTCCTCTCTACATTTTTCTGGAAAGAGAGGCTAGATGGACTACATATAGACTTGTGCACATTGCCAACTGCACAAATCAATTTAATGCAGAGTGCAACAGACTGTTGGTTGGGACTGGAAGTCACAGCATTCTGGAAATAACCTCTGACTTTATGCCTCTAACTACAACTATGAACTGCCTTATAAAGAACTGTTCCCGAGTAGACATGACTGGATCCTCCGGGAGAAGGAAATATTGAGAGCAGATAGTTGTTGGTTCACAGATGGATCGAAAGCACCCTCCAGTTCTGGTGCAGGTATTTTTAGTCGCAGATCCAGGACAAAGATATCAACCTGCCTAGAAACCTATGCGACTGTATTTCAAGCGAAAATTTACGCTATTGAATTGTGTGCCGAGAGATTGGAAGAATCCAACCTCATACATAAGTCAATAAAATGTTCTCGGGCAGTCAAGCTTCGTTGGAAGCTCTTGGCTCCTACCGAGCAACGTCTAAATTGGTAGAAAATTGCCAAAAGCGACTCTCCTCGATAGCAAGACTCAACAGATTGTCTCTGGTCTGGATTCCTGGCCATACTGGCCTGGAAGGCAATGAGGCTGCTGACTCCCTTGCACAAGAGGGTGCTGCAAGCAGCTTCATCGGACCAGAACCTGTCATTGGCATCGCTTTGGACTTCGTCAAAGAAAGATTGAACACCTGTATGACAAGAAGATTTATGGATTTCTGGCAGAATCTTTCAGGACTGGCTCACTCCAAGGCGTTTATTCACCCTTCGAAGCTTGAATCCAAACAGTTGTTGGACTACTGTGGGGATAAACTACGATGTCTTACAGACCTTCTTACAGGTCACTGTCATTTGAATCATCCTATGCAGAGACTTGGACTGTCGGAAGACAGTGTGTGTCGCCTCTGTTTGGAAAATGATGAAACAACAGAGCACATACTTTGTGCCTGCCCCGCTGGGATCGAATTAGGTTTTTAGAGTTCGGCAGAGCCGTACTCTTACCATCTGACCACTCATCATACAAACTGATTGGCTTCGTTAAGACGCTGGGTTTATTTGGTCGAGTGTGAAAAGGTGTGAGCCATAATGAACCCTTGCGGGTTGGGGTGGAGGGTCAAATACCCCCACTTACTTTGGACATAACCCACATGTTATCATCAAAATTGATGAGTCGAGGAATTACTGCGGTCCCCTCTCGCTTCATACGCCTCGTGTTGGTGTTTAAGACACTTGTTATTTTCCTAATATAGAAATTTCATTAGTACTTTTTCTACCTTCGTGTATACCTATATTTCAGTACATACAGATTTTGTACTTTTCCAAAAATATCGTGATTTGTATCTATATAGAAAATAAAACTGCATTAACTTGATGAACTCATTCATAAATGAAAAAATGAGAAATACATCTCAGTAAGGGTTTTCACTTCGAATAAGGTAATGTCCAATTGGATTTCTTTTGAACGATTGGTTGTGGAATCAATGAAAATATTAAAATGTACTGGACCTGGCTTTTGATGATGGGGATGATACAAAATTAACCTCATGCCATCAATTTCAGTCCCAGAATAAACAGGTCTCCTGGACCGTATCAACATCCCAAATTATTTATATTGGTAATTAAAGCTCCTCTTTGTGGTAAAGATAAAAAACCCTGAGCAAAACAGAAGAAAAAAAAAATTGAAACAGTTACACTTCAGGAAAGTTGCATTTGTACTCGTTACGATATTTGGTAGGTTTTATGTAAAATATTTTTCCAACAAAAATATTAAACATGTTTATGCATTTACAGTAAAATGCATAACTAGTGGGTGAGAACCTAGATATCCACTAGTGGGGTATCTACATGATATCAACATGAAGTTGATGATTTCTCATTCAATAAAATCGAATTCCTTTCAGAGTATCATTCTTTGAACAAGGCTGAAGCGAACGACAAACAACATATTTGTCATCGCGCCATCTGCCCACGAACGAGGTAACTGATCGCATATCCGAAATCGGCCAATTCCTCGTATACATATAGTAAGGGGGCATACTTGAAGACTGAATTTCTAGAAAAGACAACACACCTCACATTATCAAAAATGCGCCTGCTGACAGCAACATGTTCAAGATAATATGTGCCAAGGCAACCCCACAGTTTTGCTAGATTATCCAGCGAGAAAAATATGAACTCCCCTATTCTATCAACCCTTTAACAAACATTCAACGCAATGTAATATACTTTTTAATAACCTTGAAGGTTCAAGTTACAAATGAATGAACTTGATTGAAAAACTCACCTCCCATCGAAAGGTACTTATTATTGCAGGTGTGGATTGCGTATTTCCCAGATTCATCATGTCTAAACTCCAGCGTGAAAAGCGTATCTTCTCCCCAAGGAATGTTGGCGTCAACGTAAATCTCGTCCAAATTCTCGGACAGATGCGCGAACCGCTTCCTACCAATCGACCTGAGGTTGACCTGGGGCCGGGCGGCTAGATGTACGTGCCACAGTTCAGAATCGCCCGGTACTTTGGCGGTGCACGTCAGTTTGTCGGCGGAGGATCCGAGGAAGTAACCGCGGACGACGTTTCGGAGGGCCCATCTGCCGGTGCCATCTTCAGCTACGCTGATTTGGAACTTGCTACCGGGCTCTTTCTCGTCGCTTTCGCAGGTCACGTTACCGAAAGAGTCGACGGCGAGGTATTTGTCCAGGTGAGAGCGCAGATAGATGAGGCCTGGAAATGAGAAGTACATTCAACTTTAGATAATAAACCAACAAGTGTAAACCAAAACAAAAATTATGAATTACATTTGGAGAGCATGTGGAACAATTTCAAAGTTTGCTGGAGCTCCAATAAACTGAATTGAAGAGAATAGGCGAAAAATTTTTAACGACATGACATTTCCTAAAGAATTTTTCAATTCGGTTCACAGATATCGATTGTTAGAAGATGGTTTATGGCATAAACTCTTCAAGGTATGTTTCATATGTTCCCTTAAAAAAATGTGCTCTAAATCTGTCACCATATCGTGTATCTGTATTACTTATTTCCACGAATTTCTGAATATGAAGGTTGTAGTTGTATATATGTACTGGATGCCCTTGGATCTCATGTGGATTGATATCGTGGAAGTATCTGACAATTTTTTTTTTCAAATATGAGAATTGCACACTGAATGACTGTGTATTGCATTATCAATTTTTTCAAGCTCCTCTTCTTCATGAATTGGTACGGTAAAAGAAAGCAATCGGAACAGGCAAGGTGCTCCTCAAGACCCTGTACAACGCTATTGAAAGGTTTACCAATCAGCAAGATGTGAACAAAATGGAAGTTAAGATCAAGACCGCGGAATAGGCGACCAGTAGTCAATACAAGAATATAGGCTTTCACGCCGGAGTGACGACTAGAGAAAACAAAATTCAGGTTTATACGCCGTGGTCGAATGAAACTTGTAGTACCAAACGTTTCTTCTACTACTGCGGTAGACATCATCGGTGGTAAGTGCGTTGACAGCGAAGACCAATGTTATATCTCGCACATACCACTGATAATGTCGCTGACGAAACATTTGGCTATAAGTTCCATTTAACCACGGTCTATCAGTTCGGATATTGTTTTCTCTAAAAGTAGTCGAGGGTAAAAGGGTAAAATTCTGAAACGTTTATACGACATCTCTAAGATAGGACTTGTGAAGGTTACTTTCTACAGAAAGCTTCGACAAGTTGAGAACTATTAAATGATTTATTCACTAACTCTGGAGGAGGTTCGAAGGGCTCTAATGGGTTGACAAGATTTTGCTTTACCAGACCAGATTGTAGAATAGTCATTGGTGAAAACAGCATCGTTCTTACCGAAAACATGTCCGAATTTTTATGTACCGCTCGTGCAGATAAATCCTCAAGATTCTCTGAAAACGGCGATTATACAAAAATGGAGTCCACAAGAGCACCGTTCTCAAAATAAATATTTTTTTTCAATAGTGCTATTCAAATTATACATAGTGGACTGTTAAAAAATAAGGTGAATCTTCAAATTTCGCGGGCTACATTCGATAAGCGATTTTCATTTTTTAATGTTGGTACACTCATTTTGAACATACGTTTACAGTTTCAACTGTTCAACATGTTTAGTTTGTTGGTGAGAGGCATAAAAGTAAGAAATGTTTTGCGCCTATTTTCTCCTATCGAATAATATGGATGAAAGAATTTTGTATAAAATTTTGTGTAAAAAATGGAATTAAGTACTTAAAAAACACTTGAAATGCTGAAAGTGACATACAGTGTTTGTATTTTGACTCAGAAAAGAGAAGATTAAACTACACCAAACCGTTATTTTTAACACCTCGAGAAAGACTAGTTTAATCTTTCTCTTGAAGATGATCACTTGGTCATTGAAACACGTGTCGAAGTGTTACAAATAACGGATTGGTGTTGGGTTAAAACTCCAGTAATATTCAATCGATGACAATGTTCAGAAAGTAGAAAAAATTGTCATTTAAGCTCCTCGAATCACCGCACGGTCAATAAGTAGTATTATCTTGAAGTTATGCGTCGCTTGCGAGAAGCAATGCGAAGAAAACTTTCGGTATTGTGGAAACACAATTCATGGCTTTTGCATCGCAATAATGCACCTGCTCACTCGTCATTGCTTGTTCGCAATGTTTGACCAATAACACCGTAATCATGCCTCAGCCACCATATTCACCAGATTTGCCCCCCTGCGACTTTTTCTGTTCCATATATTGAAGAAATTCATGAAAGGACGGCGTACTGTGACGATTAAGGAGATAAAAATCGAATCTCAGCTCAAGGACATACCAAAAAGTGCATATCAGAACTGCTTGCAGACTTGGAAAAAACGCTGGCTTGAGTGTATTATATCTGAGGGGGACTACTTTGGAGAGGACAAAATAGAAACCGACGAATAAATGAATATTTCTTGAGAAAAATGAAAATTTACCTTATTTTTCTGAACAGACAGCATATACCACCCTAATAGAAGTCAAGCAGGGTAAATCAGTGCAATTATCTACAGAAAGTGGGTAACTTCTCAACCTTTTTTTTGGTATTATATGCTTAGACTATCAAAGCTGTCTTCTCTTCGCCAGAACCGTGATTGTGCCGAAATATACTGCTATAATTTGACACCCCTATGATTTGACAGAGCCAGCGGAATTGTTTGTCCAGATATTATTATGCCGATTTCTGACACATATATTTTCTTAGACATTCTGTTGAATGTCCATTTCACTGGGTACTGTCATCACACCAAACTTAAAGTTTCCCATATCTTCATTAAGATACAGTATACTATCCTGACATCTTTTTGAAATGCTGAAAGTGACATACAGTGTTTGTATTTTGACTCAGAAAAGAGAAGATTAAACTACACCAAACCGTTATTTTCAACACCTCGAGAAACACTAGTTTAATCTTTCTCTTGAAGATGATCACTTGGTCATTGAAACACGTGTCGAGGTGTTACAAATAACGGATTGGTGTTGGGTTAAAACTCCAGTAATATTAAATCGATGAAAATGTTCAGAAAGTAGAAAAAATTGTTATTTAAGCTACTCGAATCACCGCACGGTCAATAAAAAGTATTATCTTGAAGTTATGCGTCGCTTGCGAGAAGCAATGCGAATTGTGGAAACACAATTCAAGGCTTTTGCATCGCAATAATGCACCTGCTCACTCGTCATTGCTTGTTCGCAATGTTTTGACCAATAACACCGTAATCATGCCTCAGCCACCATATTCACCAGATTTGACCCCCTACGACTTTTTCTGTTCCATAGAATGAAGAAATTCATGAAAGGACGGCGTACCGCGACGATTAAGGAGAATCCCAGCTCAAGGGCATACCAAAAAGTGCATATCAGAACTGCTTCCAGAATTGGAAAAAACGCTGGCTTGAGTGTATTATATCTGAGGGGGACTACTTTGGAGGGGACAGAATATAAACCGACGAATAAATGAATATTTCTTGAGAAAAATGAAAATTTACCTTATTTTTCTGGACAGCATATACCACCCTAATAGAAGTCAAGCATGGTAAATCAGTGCAATTATCTACAAAAAGTGGGAAACTTCTCAAACTTTTTTCGGTATCATATGCTTAGGCTTAGACTATCAAAGATGTCTTCTCTTCGCCAAAACCGTGATTGTGCCGAAATATACTGCTATGATTTGACACCCCTATGATTTGACAGAGCCAGCGAAATTGTTTGTCCAGATATTATTATTCCGATTTCTGACACAATTATCTTCTTAGATCTGTCGAGTGTCCATTTCACTGGGTACTGTCCCACCAAACTTAAATTTTCCCAGATCTTCATTAAGATACAGTATGCTATCCTGACATCTTGTTGGAAAGAGAAGTCAAGTATTGTGTTTTCAGTAAAATAATTTACTGGAATTCTAGACTTTCTCAATAGGTCATTGATGATAGAACTCCCTATATGACCACGTATGCGGGAAGCAAATGATCTATAGCCATCTCAGTATTTTAACATATTTGAATTAGCAGCATAATGAGATAAGTAGTTGTATGCAAGAAGAACATGCTCTTCAACAAATGAATTACGCCACCTAGCTATATTATGAATAAATTACGAAAAGACATCTTGATCATCATGCACACCACTAGAAAACGCGTATTATCCTCAACTGTTGCTCTTGTTAGCATTTGTAGTTACCATGGCAAAGAAACAGAGACTGAAGCGTTCAGCTTCACTGGTGAACTTGGCATTGTTGTTGACATTGAGCGGGGTGACCAGTACCTTGGTTACCGAGGTGGAATCCGTTCAGCAAGAGGTCAACATTACTCCTGCTTCTACATAAGTAGTGAATATATGAATCTGACTCTTCAGTATTGAGAAATTCGGCCTAAACCATCTAACCTTTACTATTCTCAGAGTAGGAGGGTTAGGTCGGAAACTGAGAGATTCATCATTGCCACCAGGTATTGACCCAATATTCTATCATAATTGCATGACAGATATGAAGGTTCCAGAGATCAGTCGGTTTAACGACCAAAGCACTCTAGAAGCAAACCAAATTCGCATGTTTCTGGGGAGCTGGTTATTATCCAGGCTATCATAGTCAAAAATATAAGGATATGTAATACTTGTTAGTAAGATACCATACAAAGTCATCTATAGAAGTCCAATTAAATATTTGTGGCATCGGACAGGTAATCCTACATTTAAAATGCTGAGCACACATACATATAAGATCACCGGTGATGGAACTACAACCAACTATATGCTCGACATGCAAGTCCTGCATAAAATACACAAAAAGTGGTTTATCCTGCACATCTGCAGAGTAAACCCTTACATACGGGCTTCGGACTGGCTGAATCTTAATACAATGGAGTACTTAGTCGGAATTGCATAGATCTGTACAGATGACTAATTTTATTTCCGAAAAGGTACTCACTGTCTCCTGCGTTACTTGTATCAGGCTCCAAAGTCCAAATCTGTTTCTTTTTCAAAGAAGTTCCATTCGCGTTTATTTTGAATCCGAAAGTCTCTGCGGTGAGATATCGAAATTTAGAATTGATCAGACCGATTGTCCAGCAACCTTTCTGTTGATTTTGCGTAATAATATCTCCACAGCCGTTCAATTCACCACCATTCGTATGATCTGTTCCGTTCATAATTGCAGAAACTCCTTTGGTAGATCTGAAACAAAAGAACATTTTGTTTGAAAAAATTCCTTTCGGCAGGATCTACAGAATGAGATTTCGAAATGTTAAGGCGGATTTCCACCGAAAGGACAAAACAGCAACTGTCTCGATTTCGATAAAACAAAAAACTTGAGTTGTCAAAATAAGAAACACTTTGAATATTTTGTGTCGCGGGCGACTGTTTTTGTCAAAATCGAAATGTCCCGTCGGCAGGCGGAAAAATCAAATGGTTTTGGGGTTTTGAATATGTTTTTGTACACAGAGTTCGCTATGTGGAAACGGTTTTGTTAGAATGTAATAATTCAAACATAAGTTTTCAGCTTCTTATTTTTCAAAACAACTTTACATGATAACAAACGAATTTTTGAATTTATTATAAGAATTATAAACAATTATACACTTTCTATATACGTCTTGAAGATTTGACATTATTTTTCAATGGTAGAAGCAGTCTAATCATTTATTTTTAAAAAACCTGTCGATCCATCAACCTGCTGACGCCTGCTTAGTACGACAGTCCTAGTAGTCGAAACTAGTGCGAGATAAGGATTAAGGAGTTTTTATATTTTATCGTGCAATTTTTAGCACGGGTACGTGCTAACCGATCAGCCATCGTCCCTCCTCATACCTCTACAGTGGGCACAGTTTTTGAAATTCAATTTCGAAATAGTTTATAAAATAAATATTTTATATTGTCCTTGTAGACGGCCTTGAAAACAAAGTGTGTTGAACAAAATCCCCCAGAAGATCTTAAATTAGAAATCAAGGCAAATGACCCTCGCACAGCTTTATAAATCATTTGCTTTATAATTTGTTCTATTTTTAGCGTGATTAAGCCAGAGAAGTATTTCTAAATCTTGCGAGCTCCGACTACTTTGGAATACACAATTGGGTGAAGACTAAAAATGTATTTTCCTGATTGATTCGGCCGTTACTCGATGAATAGTGTGGAGATCAAAACTGAGGTGTAGTTTACAACAAATGTATTTTGAGTAATTTTTCTATATAAATTGTTTTCATCCGCGAATTTTTTGGGTTTTCCTCGATTTCCAAACTGCAAAATGTTTTAGAATTAGTATATACTAGCTGTTGATGTAACTCCCTTCCCAAGAATTCAGTTTTCAGTTTTTCAGATTTCTCAGATTTTCAAAAATGTTCCCATGTACAGCAAATCAAATCTAGAAAAAGTAGGTCCCTACTAAAGTTGCCCAGCCCCAGGCATCCGGCTAACCTTGCGGTGTTAACTGGCCGAGGTGTATCGGGAATAAATTTGGGAGGGTCGAGACATTATTAGATCAGTCTTTGGGCTATCGACTCAACGTAACCGTTGGGACATTTCCAGGACATCGAAACCTTTTATCCATATCCTGCGGACGTCCCTCATCCTAGGGTGCGGTTCATCAGTTAGTTTCCGTGTTCCTCAATTATTAGCTCAGTTCACTCTGTAGGCCTTGGTTAGGAAATTAATTTCGTGATCCAAGAGTGAACTTAAAGCTTTAGCTTTCCGTAAATCTTCCCCTCTGCTTATCTCGCGCGTACATCGTCCCGAGAAGTTGTCCTCCTAGGTTATCGTCCACCCTGTCCTTTCCAGGAAGGTGAACAGGTCACTAGGAGATATCTCCTTACTGTCGTTGCGTGGCTTCTTCAACCTTCTTGTGGTTCCCTCCGTGGAGGTGCACAAGTGTTGTGGCTTTCCTGCAGGGGCAGCCGGTTCCTTGCCTTTATTCAAGGCACCGCCTTAGATTGAGGTGAGCACTTCTGTCCAAACTCGTGATTGGTTTTTGTTTTTGTTGTTCCTGTTGTTTCATTCATTTGTGTTTCCACGAGTAGCAAGGGAATAGTTGTCACCTCTGGCAGAGCCCTGCATTATCAGAGGTAGGTTGTTTACAATGAGGTTTCACCCAGTTTCCCAAGGGGATCGTTAGTGACCGCATATCATCCTGCGGCCATTCACTACTAATTTTCATCAGGAAGTACAATCGGTAAGAGAAATTTGGCCTGAATAAATTCGTCAAGTGCTGACAACTTCACATATACCAGTGAATCAGGAACCCAATTTCTTCCGTTTGTGCAGCTGGAAAATAATTGAAAGATTAGGAGATAATAAGATATAATTGCAATCAATACGTACGTACATTTTCATCAAGATTAGATTCATATAATATTTTCGAAGATTGGTTAACTAAAGAATACAATATGATATTTCGCCTACTGTTGATTCGTGGTTTTCGTCAGGAAGTGTATCGATCCCGGATAAATTACCATCTTCATGCTCTGAAACGTCACCCCCATATTGCAAATCATAATGTAAATCAATAATACACGATGATGTCTATCAAGGGTTCATTTGACATAAAATCTTCCATTGCTCGAAAAAAAACTGCTCAAAAAATCGTCGTAATATCGCATGACATCGTTGAAATTGAAAGTAACATTTTTATTTGCCACGTAATCTTTCAGTACAGTCCTAACCAACTCGATTGGATGAAAATCCAAGTGATATGGTAGAGTTTAGCCATCTTGCCATCTGACCTGAAAGACCACTCGCCATACAAACTATTCGGCGTCGTTAAAAAGCTGGGTTTATTTGGTCGAGTTTCAATAGGTATGAGCCACAATAAACCCTTCCGGGTTGCGGTGGACGGTTGAATAAATCCACTCACTTTGGACCTAACCTAACCGATATGGCGGTAATCGTACAACGCGATTTGATGCCAAAAAGTGACTCTCGTGTCTAGAGGTCCGAATTTTCTATTCCTACTCGACCTAGCATATTCTACTACTTAGAATTCTATTCGACTACTTGGAATTCTATTCTAAGTGGTCGAATAGGCTGGCGTTTTATCAGTACTTTCCTAATAACTCTTCACCTTTTTCCATCGAAATCCAAGTTTATGAATTTCTTTTCGCAAGGACTCTTGCTAACCTAATATAGTCAATATCTCGGATAATAGTTTTATGAATTTTCCTAAGCATAGGAATTATTTGATATGGAAATTAATCAGCATCAACCATCACAATTCTAGAATTTTTGATAGAACTCTTGTTGTTTGCAGTTGAAAATATTTTTTTCTTACCAATTTCTATTTTTTCATCTCTGATTTGACTTTTAGTTTGCACGCATAACCTTTTGATCTCAGCTACTCGTTCTTGAACCTTCAAAGTTGAAATATAATATTGTTTACAATTACATTTATTATTACTATTACTTCTTAACTCCGCAACAGGAATTCTTATTCGTTCTGTCGTTGCTTCCGCTTGCATAAATCTCAATACGTTGTTCACAATTTCTCTGCTTTGTCCACTAAGAACCTTGTTTTACAGTTTAGTTTTCGAATATATTTTCAAAGACAACAAATAACTCACATTTCAACACACAGAATAATTTATCCAATCACAGCACTAACAAGATGTTCGCTACACAAGTTCCTCGATGTTAATGAGCTCTCGTCCCACTTCGCCGGCTAATCCACTGAACATACAATATTCAGAGCCACAACTAGATTTGCCAAGCTTTTCTGTACTTTACGTTTGTTGTAGTCTGGTAAGAAGCTGTAACACACTGAGCAGCAAGACCTACTCAATATAAGCAATCCTTCTTGAATATTTTACTATGGATGCGAATTGAAAAACATTTTTCATCGATTATAACCCATGAATACGAATTACCTATAATTTTGTTGCTACTAATTGAATGTTCTTCTAAAGGGTCGGTAAGAGGCTCTCGAAAATTTCTAGTGGCTTGGGCTATTATTGAAAGAATGCAGCTGGAATCTTAATACCATTTCTCAGATACCCACATTTGAACATAAACATAACAGAATGCGCTCCTGTAACGTTTTCTTTCCACGCTTTATGGAAATATATGATTACAATCTCAATTTCAATGATTACACCCGATAATGAATCTGAAAGTGTCCAGTTCATCATATATTTAACATTCATAACTGTATGTTCAATCTATTTAACGGATATTTACCAAACAATAGTCACACCATGTGATTTTCACGGATCTGAAACTTTCTTAATTGTAGTCAAATATAGGAAGAACTAATTAAGGTATTATTACAAACTATAATGATTCAAGCTTCAGTACGTACAAGCAACCGTAACAATTTGAACAATGGTGTGTGTATCTTTTGAAGATTTCGAAAAGATCAAGGTAGTTTCTTCAATATTATGTATTTTAAAAAGTTTTAAAATATATTTACCAAAATATAGAGTTGACATGAAGCAGAAAAAGTACTTAAATATCCCGAAATATCCCTAAAAAATATAAACCAAAATATAGAGTTGACATGAAACAGAAAAAATACTCAAATATCCCAAAATGATTTTAAAAAATATTAACCAAAAAATTGCATGTCATAAGTCAACCGATATGCCGACATCCTCAGCAACCATAACAATTTTCTTCACTTTCTCAACATTTTCATCGGTTGTTGATGTGCTTGGGCGTCCATGGCGAGCATGATCATTGAAATCTTCTCGACCTTCTGTGTAAACACTTGTAAACAATTTTCTTACTCCAGAGTAGAATCAGCGTATGTCGCTGTCAACAATTCAAGTGTTTTTGAGGACTTAAAAACGCTAATCGAATGTAGGTAGCCCGCGAAATTCAAACGTTCACCTTATTTTTTGACCAAACCTCGTATAAGTTGAATCCCCTTAAAATAAAATAGACATCATTGTTCAGTTCATGGATTTTACTCGCCTTTTAGCGGAAACACTCACACAAACACATCCGGAGATAACTGGTTTCTATTTATACCTACATCGTAGAAACTGAAACGAAAGAAAGGGTGATTGAATATCTGCTTATTCAAGTTGAAAGCTTGCCCATTCTTTTGGAAAACAATTCATATATTCATTAATCAATTCTTAAAAATGAATTATTCCCTAATCTTTTTCAAAACTAAGTTGGTTAAATTCAGTTATTCGTGATTATTTGGAAAACTGTCCCTTGAATTGTTTGATGGATTTTGATATCATTCC